AGCATTCTTACTTCAAATGCTGTTAATTACTGAATAATAGCTGAATTAATTTTAAATTTAAAATTCTTGAAATTTTAATGAAACGTTTGTTCAAATGGCTAATATACTAATAATGCTAGTAGTAACAGTACCCTAACTTTGAAATTGTACTAATGCAGTATTAATACACAATTCAGCTTATAAAGAGTAATTGCTGAATTTTACAATAATATAGTAATACTGCAATTTTGAAATCAAAGTATCAAAATTTATACTTTTACCGTAACATATTCATATAAATAATGAAAAAATAATACTAAAATGTGTGCATATTAATGAAAAATATTTACAATATGTGTAATATTAAAATTTTTAGATTATATAGTAACTGAAATTAGTAAAGAAAAAAAAACCAAAATATTTACTAAAAAAAAAATTTTATTTATATAATTAAAATTGAATAAAAAAAAATAAATTAAATTCTATTAATTTTATAAGTGTAAATAAAAATAAATACAAATATTCTATATATTGTAATTAAAATCAAATTACTTACATGTAAAATAAATATAATATAGATAAATAAAAGAAAAATAAGAAAAAAAAAATAAAATTTTAAATTATATTAAATATAAAAATTATATTAAAAAAACTAATCGTATGTGTTTAGGAACAAAAATCTAGTAATTATAAAAAAAAACTATAAATGAAAAAGAATTTAAATTTAATTGTCAAAAAAAATACATTTCAAATCTTATGATTACCGAGAGAAATTAAATAAAAAATTAAAATATAAAAAATGGAACAAAAAAAATAAATCTTAAAATTCATCATTTGTGAGAAGGAAACAAAATGCAAAATTATAAATGTATAAATATACTTTTATATATACATAAATATGTATATTATAAAAACAAAAAAAAGAAATTAAAAATATAAAATAAAATTTAAAAAATTAAATAAATACAAAAATAAATAAAAATAAATAAAAGTTCTAATGTGAATCTGTGAAAAAAAATAATCTTGTTTTCTCATTTACTTTCTTCTAACCCAAAATAGGGGTAGAACTCATATTGCGTTATTTGTTTACTAATTCCTTTAAAATTCCGAAATAATTACACGATCAAGAAGAGTAATTGTCACTCAATGTTTTTAGCCACTTAGTATTAGACAATTGTCTCGTATACTAATATCAGCAAACAAGCTATAGGAAATCTTGTTTCTAAAATCCGGATGAATTTGATGATTTTCTAAAATTTTAAAGAAATAAATTAGAAAAATTATTTTGTAAAAGAAAATAGAGCATTTTTTTATAAAATATGTACTTCCCGACAGAACCAATTCATTGAAAATATTAAGCATAATATTTTTAAGTGTACCTGAAACGAAGGAAGAAAACTGTATTAAATATATTGAGAAGTAACAAGAATTCTTTTGTTACCACAAACTAGGTATATTCCTTATCTATTGTTCATTAACGGGTTTAAATCTCCATAAATCATCTCCATAAACACTTTCAGATTCAAATTAACCAGATTAATTCGATTCGAAACTGCAATGAGCAAATAAATTTTTTTTCGGATTTCATTCTCGTAATTGCAAAAATTATCGGATTGCAAAGGAAGTTTTTCAATTTTTTTGCATTTTTGCCATCACAGCTACTGTCTTATTCAATTTCACTTAAAAACCGGCAATGAAACTACATGTGATGAAAAATATAATTTATATTAACATTTTCTAACAGACATTACGTACATTTGTATTTCTGTTAAAAATATTATTATTTCAATTTCAAGGTGAAATTAAGATCATTTTCAATACAAAAACTGCCTTAAAAAAACATGCAAATATAAACAAATGTTCAATTTTATTTTTGCAACTTTAATTTATTTCACAAACAATACACACTTCCCATGGCATAAAGCAAACCTTAAAAAAATCACAGCAGGTAATGTTAAACAATTAAAATTATTCGAATAAGGTGTGAGTAATAAGAAAATAACATAACCAAGAAAAGAGAAATTTTGAATTTTATCTCTCTAAATATTTATCAAATACGTCAGAAACAGACATGTGAGATATGTATATCTGTAACACTCTCTTATCAAAATATTTCTATTTAAGAATAGATATAATTTGTCTCTTATTTCACAATGCAACAAACGGCATACTATATACATATATTATATAAAATACATATAGTATTGTTAAATTTTAGGTAAAATTTCAAGAGCAGACATGGTCAAATTATTTCCTAATTTAATATTTTAAAACAAATTGTATTTGTAGAGTAAAGAAGGAAAAAATTAAATTGTAAAAAATTTCGCAGATTCCAACGTAATTCGAATAATGTCACTTTCTTAAAAGAAGGTCGAGTCATAATGAAATATTTTAAAGTTTCTAGCACTACAGCATACATTTTACGGTATCAACTAAAAACTATTGATTATTGTTTAAGCTTTATAGACAGGAAAAGTATAGAAAAACGAGCATATTGGGACAGTTCGGAAATATAGCGTAAGAGCAGAATTCAGCCTTTAAACATTAAACGTAGAGATTTAATGGTATTTCTCAAGTAAAAATGTTAGCAATAATCTTAACTACTTACTTAATTATTGTTAGAATTGACATTAGATATAGAAATGTTACAAATCTTATTCGTTTACTTGAAGAACATATTTACAAAATGCAATAAAGTATTTAATTATGAAATTTTGTTAGAGAAACCACCAAATAAATAACAAAAATTCAAAATTTTAAAATTTTTATTATTAAATTAAACGCTTCAACTGACTTAAATTATTTTTATAATACTCAATATTTAAGTTGAATTGAAGTTCACCATGCCATACCGAAAATAAACCTATGTAATAAGAGAAAAACATAAAGCATTATCAAATAATTTTACCATACCTGTTACTTATAAAGAGATTTTTAATTCGCTCTCACTCAAATTTATGTTTTTATTTTTAATCCGATTTTATAAAGCTGGAATTTAAACTCTCAAACATAACAATAATTTCTCAGTTGTGATTTAAAATTAATACGGTTAAGATGTAGTGTCGTCATTACTACGCTTAATATTAAAATCAGAAAGTTTGGAAATTTTTATTTTTCGTATTTTTTTTTTTTATTAATTTATTTTTTGAACCTTGCATAAAATTAAAAGGTTATCGTCTAGTTAATTTTTGACATCATTTTTGCTTTTTTAATTTAATTGTGTGATAATAATAATATTATTGAGAAAAATTAATAAAATCTTTATAAAAATAAATTGATTTCAGAATTTACAAGATTCATTGAATGAAAACAAAAAACGACAACCTTTAATACTTATTTCGCCTTAAGTGTTTTTCAATAAATACAAACAATATGAAAATAAATTATTTTATTGTGTTAGTCTGTTTTATAATAACAATTTCTTTAGAAACAAGTAAGTTAAAAAAACAAGTATAAGTTGTACTTACATTTATTAATAATCTACCTTTGAGAAATTTTCAATAAACTTGGATAATGGAAGTGATAACAAAATCGGAAAAGATTAGCAATAAAACAAGAATTTGTTGGCTGTATTTTGTTGGAAAAATAACAAATTTCTTATAGAATGAATTGATCAGTTTATGATCACTCTATGCCTGTTATTTCTAACGCAATTTTAAGGTTATGGGTTTGACAAAATGAAATTACAGTCATAATTCGATCTCAAGATTTCACTTGAATCTCGTTTATTTTTTATTGTTAAAATTATTGATTTAAGATTTTTGAGAAAAAAAAAAGTTTTTCTACTAGGTTGTTCAAGTTGCCGCACTATATTTCATTACTGTTAACCGTGATAACGAGTTAACACGAAATTCACAATAATTAAGAATATTAATCGTAATATCAAAAATAATTGCAAAATAAAAAATATAACAATATTATTCATAAATAAAAATTACGTTTTAATAAAATGTAATCATGTCTTTGACTACAACCCTGGAACCTATAATTATATTTGCATTTTAATCCTTAACAGAGTAGAACTTGTATAATTTGTAGGTGCGCGTTCTTTATTTTAAAGACACACTAAGTTTAATAAAAGAATAATAGTTGGGAGTTGTAATAGGTGGTTTTTTGGTCCCGAATAACTGAATTCCCGTATATCAGAGCGTTCTATTTGCAATCTACTCCTAACCATTATTATCATGAAATTAGAAAGCAGGCACTGCTGAATATAATCATAAATTAAACAGAGCTATTACATATTCGGAAGTATTATGGAGCACAATCTATGTAAGCCATAAACCGAAATAAACTTTTCCAAAAAAAAATAAAAAATAATTTAATTAAACTCAATTAGAGAAATTAAAATTAAATTTATCACATAATTTTTCTTTCATAATAATGACGCCAAGTAAAATTTTAATTTGCGATGTTTATTTTTCTGAATTATTAGAACAAGATCAACGATGTTATCAACGAAATAATTTCAAGTTTACTCGCTTTTTTCCAATGCGAAAATATATAGTGATGATGTCTGCTTATAACAAGGCTTTAAACAGAAGCAAGTTCACAAAGTGATTTAAATTATGAATTAAAAATTTCGCTTTTTTATATAGTCATGTTTGATTCCCATAAGTATAGATTAAAGGCAGTGAAAAATTTTGTAAAATTTTGTTGTTACAACATGTTTTTTTTAAAATTCTCCTTAATTGAGATCATTGTAGAGACTTTTAAATTGCTTAATTGAGCACATTTTTGTACATAGTCTATTTATAAAACGTTTGTAAATGAATATTTTTAAGTATGTGAAAATTTAAAGGTGTAGCTTCCGCATAAACAATTGATGTTTTGAGAAATTTTTACATAATTTTTTTTTTTGTATTTTTACGGTTTCAATAGTAATTGCGTTCCATTAAAGGGTATATAAAACTCGCAATGTTCCAGTTAAATAGCACTCCCATCTACAACAGCCTATATATCACTCTATATGTAGCAATCCCCTGATAATATCATTTACAACACATTAAATTTAATTTATATTTTCAGCTGTTCATTGCTCTGACTTTGAAAGTTTATCATATGGTCCAGATGTTTTATCTGGAAAAGTATCTCCAACTGAAAAACCACATGAAACTACAACAAAAAAATCAGGATTTTTTAGTGGAATAAAAAAACTTTTTGGTGGAGGAAAAACAACAACTACTGTTGAACCGCCAACAGAAAAAGCTGTTTTAACAAGTTCAACTACAGCAAAACCAATCAGTACATCAACAACTCCAGCACAAAAACCTAGTCAAAATCGTGATTTTGTTGCTCCCACTGCAAGTTCAAGTAAGTTGCCTAATTTTTTATAATATTTTTGCAAATACACTAAATTCTTGTTTTGAATTTTAGCTTCAACAACCACTACAACAACAGTCAAACCTCGTGTGAATCCCAATTTGCCTACAAATATTGGTGGACCTAGTGGAATAAATCAAATTAGTAGTTCAACAACAACCACCACTTCAAAACCGGATAATCGAAGAGATTATGTAGCACCACCTCGTCCACCTTCTCCTGGTATGCCACAAAATCCACAACAGGCTTCTACAATTACAAGTACTACAACTGTAAAACCAGATAATAGAAGAGATTATGTTGCGCCAATAAGGCCTTCTATTCCACCAAAACCTACAAGTCCGCAAGCTTCTCAAGGAAATGTACCTACATTCCCTACAGCACCATCAAATAGACGTGATTATGTTAATCCCAATATACCAAGCACACCAAAATTCCCTATTGGTACTCCATCACAAGGTCCACCTGCTGTTCCTCCAAGGCCAGGATCACAAAGTCCACCTGCTGTTCCTCCAAGATCAGGAGCACCAAATATTTTGAATGAAAAAGATTTTCCACCACTTGGACCATCTAGAGGCGGTAATCAAAAACCGACAGCTTCTCCGTCTGGAAGTTCTGGAGGTGGTGTGAGTTTTGTGCCACATTCTCCCGGAGCACCTACAAAATCTAGTAATAAAAATCAATTGGCAAAAGATGATGAACTTTCAACTTTAACAGAAAATTTACTGAGCAAAGATGTTAACAATCAAAATGAATTCGTAACAATAAATCTTCAAGGAAAAACAAAATCTACAGATCGGACTGATGAAGCACCTGAAAGGTAAAATTTACTTTTTAGAGAAAGAAAACAAGCTAAATTTATTAAATTTTTACTTAATTAACGTAAACAATTAATTTTAGTTTACTAGATGTTAAAGATCAAGCTTTACAAAGTCCGACAATTGCGAAAATGCGACTTCTTTACAATAACTATGAAGTAGATACATCCATAAATGAATATGTCACACCAATAGAACATAAAGAAGAGAATGATTTTGTAGATGCTATAATGGCTACAAGTGTAATGAGGGCAGCTATGCAATTTCTACAAACCAAAGGAATTGTAACACCAGATCCTAAAACTCATCGAGAATATGTCAAAACGTTATGGTTCACATTATACTCTAGAGGCGGTGGTCGTATTGGAAGTAGTGCATTTGAACACGTTTTCTTAAATGAAATTAAAAATGGCACAGTAATAGGAATGCATAATTGGGTCTACTATTATGAAGAGGAGAAATCAGGAAATGCTGATTATAAGGGTTATATTAGAAAAGTAGATTTAGGGACTGTAAGTTGTAAACAACTTTTCTAAATTTTTGAATATAAATTTTTAATTTTATATCATTTTACGTTTTAGAAAGGAACTATATTGAAATATCGATTTAATTACAATGGATTAGAAAAGTATGCAAATACATTATTCATTGGAACTTCACCTGAATTGGAAATGGCAATTTATACAGTATGTTTTGCTGTAAGAGCCGATCAAGATTGTCCAATATCATTAAATCAACAAAAAATTAATATAGTAACACATACATGGAAATATAGAGGAAAACAATTAATTGGTAGCGCATATCCTGAAATTTAAAATTTTTAATTTATAAAAAAAAAGAAACCGAATAGATACAATACTCAAATTTTGTATAAAAAAATTTAATAAATAAGATCTAAGTATGTATGTACATATGTTACAAATTATGTAATATGCATTAATTAATGGAATATTTAGAAAACTCCCTAAAATTAAATTCATCATCACATTAACACTCTTCAACATTTATGGTTACCTGCATAATTTGTTGATGTTCATAATTTTTCCTTCTGCGAGTGAATAGAACTCTGCGACATATAGGAAATATTCATTATTTTTTACACATTCTTGAAGATTAACAATTTTAAAATTATCAGAAACAAAATTAATTTAAAATATCGAATTTTCTTAATTATTAATTAGCAAAATTTCTTAATGAAAAATGTAGAACGAGTAGAAATAACACAGCGATATCTGCAAATTTTTTTGAAATCAACATGAAATTTATAATTATTTTAAATGTCTATCTAGTTATCATTTAGTTTTTATTACCAAATATTGAAACCATTTTCAAATAGTTCAAGTCTGTTTCATTTTACACATTCATATTTTTACAATGTTTTTGTTTCAATTTTATACCGACCCAACAAAGATAATAAATGAACAAAATGTGCAATGTAGTACTAAATTGTTTAACGATAATTTATATTAGTTTTTAATACAAAAAATATTTACGATATTGTTTACGATATTAAAATATTATTTTATAATTTTTAAATGTTGGCAATATTGTAAATCTTTATGTGGATAATTTGATATTAATTCTTTACTATTTGGACAAATTGGTTGTTGCTTTTGCTAAACTATTTACAGAAATATCAAATATGATTATGCTTCCAAATATAATTTGGAAGCATAAAATAATTTTCATTTCAGCATCTAACTTCCAATTTGTAATTTCCAATCTTACAACCTTTTTAACATTTTAATATATTTTTAATTATTGACAAAATCTGAGATTAAATTGTTAATAAAGCCTGATAACTGTTCACATATCAAACTGAAATTATTCACTGTTGTTCAGACCTTACGTCAGATTTAAATTAATTTCTTACTGTCAAATTTTTAAAAAGTAAAATGGTGACAATTAATTTTTTTGTGAAAGTTTTCTGATCAGTTCACTTTTGTTATGGTTAAAATTTTCATAGAAAAACTTTAAATTTTGACATAAAATCAAAAATGTTAACAGTGTTATCAAATTTTATCATAGATTTAATCTTATATTTTGTCTGAAAACTTTTCAATTTCTAAAATTTCTAAATTTGACAAATTTTTAATATAAAATTGAAATTTTTGCTTTTTTGTACAACTAAAAAATATTTGTTTATCTTTGATAAATATTTTGACATTTTAGACTTCACTTCTTATGTCTGCTTTATTTTTTTTTTTGTTTTAATAGGAATTTTTTTTTCTCTTTGTGACAATTGACGTGACATTGTTCTCCTTTTAAAATTTTTCGAAGTTTTATAACATAAAGAGCTTAAAGGTCTGTAATAAATAAATTTATACATTTTTGTTATTATATTCATTCACAATATGAAATTTCTAAAAGCAAAATAACAATTTTATCAATGGCAACATTTTTCAATATTTACAATAATGACAGCATTTTTAATATTATTTTTTTTTTGACATTTGAGCTGAATATGTACCGTAATCTCTGGTTTTTTTTGTCATTTTCTTATTTTGTTTTCAAACAAAACAATAAGAATAATTTATCGCTCTCTTTTTTTCCTTCAATTTTTTTGTTTTCTGTTTTTTTTTTTTTTGGTTAATCAAATGGTTGCTCTGCTCAGCTTTTTCAGTTTATCGAGAGAATTTGTACGCTGTAGAGTTAAAAAAATAAGAAAAAAGTGATTGGGTGCGTCGTCTAAATTGCACAAAAATTAACTTTTTACTAAAAAAAAGAAAAGAATAAGAAAACTTTTTTTTCTTTCAACTAATAAAAATTATGAAATTATTAACGAATTAATTAATTATTTAAAAAAAATACATTTTTTATATTAAAAATAATTAAAATTTATTTAGTGAATTATCCTTTTACTTTTTCTAAAATTAAAGAAGAAAAAAAATTTTTTTTTCTGTACAAGAGAAAAAAAAAATAGGAAAAAAAAGTGCATATTTCATTTTTCTTTTTTTTTTTCTGTATTCTTAACCATACATACACTCGCACACATTTATATAACTAGCACAGAAATACCAACAAAAACTACACGCTCGAAGAAGAAGAAAAAAAAAATTTTATTTTAGAAATAAGCAGATAAGAAATATTGTGTTAGTGTGGGTGTGTGAGATTGTATAAAAAAAGAAAAAAAATATTTTGTTTAAGAAAAGAAGTGAATAAGAAAAAAAAAATTTTTTTTTTTGTAATTTTATTGGAAAAAATCATAGCCAAAGAATAATTATTATACAAAAAAAAAAAAAAAAATTGATAAAACAAAGAACTCCATTTAAATTATTTTTAAAATAAATAAATTTTATCGAAAATTCGACAAAAAATTATCAAAGTTTTTTTAGAAAAAAAAAAAAAATTCAATTAAAAAATCAAAAAGAAAAACAAGAAAGAAAAAATGTCTGATAACATGAACGTGGTGGACGAAAAATTTCGCAGCTAGCCCAGTGTACAACCATGATATTAGCTGCCTATACTGTGTCTGGCTGGATTATATACACACATTTTTTAACAACATAATAAAATTGGTAGAAAAAATACAAAAAAACAATAATTTTCTAATTTTTCTTTAAATTTTCTATAATTTTAAGTTTTAAAACTTAAATATTTCTATTTGTACCTTGAAATTTTGGAAATTTAATAGAATAATTTAAAATTTAAATTTATAAGAGTAGAAAATATAAGTAGGTAGGTAGGTTGGTAGGTAGCTACCTTACTTTAAATACTTTGTCCTCTTCTGTTCGTTCTGTTTATACATTTATTTTATATTTAAAATCTAAATTTCTTCAGATCTAAATCTGAATATAACCTATAAGTTCAGTTGTAATTATATTGATGTAACTAGTACCTACTTATTAAGAAATTTATCCATTACCATATCATAATTGTACATACATACATAAGTATATTTACCTATAATATAAAAAAATTTTCAATACTTGGATTAAGTATACATAAATGTGAAATAATATATTCATACTTATATTTACTATGTAATATATATATATATATATATATATATTTAACATAGGTAAATTTTAGTATAAGTACATATACCAAATTGTATGTAAGTTGAATATTGTAAAATTTATGAAATCTGAAAAAAACAAATGTGAAAAATAAAGTGAGCTAGTTAGGAAATTTGTCAAAATTATAAATTTAAATTAGCGGCATTACTTAATTTTAAATTTTATCGAGGCGGCATTATACCGATGTTCATATTTTCGTAATTAATAATAATTCCGATTACAATTCTTATTTTGGCTTAACTGGTTTTTAAATAAAATTGGTTATACAAGATGAATTTGGTTAAAAAATCTATATATTATTTTTATTCTGACAATATTATTAAATAATCCAATGGTATTAAATAAAATTTTAATTCAATTTAATAAAATTTTATTAATGGGTAGATACCTACTTATTGTTTAAAATTAAGACCAGGTTTTAAAACCGAGTCAGTTGATTGAATTTGTTTTTTAGAAGATTTTTTAATAAAATTTTATATTACCAGCAGTTTACAGCACATATTTATGTACCTAATTAAAATCTCTGACAGAAGAGTTTTCAAAACCATAACGAGTAATTTAATTTAGGAGTTTTCAAATTTCAGTACTGTGATATCTATAACTAAAATAAATTATTACATATAATATGCTTGTGTATAGCTATAGAATATAAGTTAGGTAAATATACCTAGATAACTCCGCAGAAAGAAATAAAAATTCCCATTTTTCCACAAATCAAAATGTTAAAATCCCCATTTTTATGAACAAACACGCATACTTTGAGCTTAAATGATAGAACAATTCACTTATTTTAAATAAATCTTAGATAATAAGTAAATTAAATGAAAATCTTTTTATGTTATGCTCCCATGATTTATTTTGAATTTCTTTTCTTTCCGATTATTCTTTCAACTTTATTTGACAACCAAAAAAAAAGTTTGGCTTTGTAAATTATTATCAAAAGTAACTTTAGTACAAAGGTGTACCTATTAATTTTTTATGTTTAAGAAAATGGTATAAAGCATAGTTAGAAAATTTGAAAATGACTTTAAAATAAATAGACCATAACAGATGAAATTTTTTTTTACAACTATTTATGTACGTATATGTACGTATATAAAAAAAATTTTTAATTGTATAACAAATTGTAATTTTAAAAAAAAAGGTTATTTTTAATCTAACAAATCATAAATATTAAAAATTTCTCTTATAAGTAAATTGTAACCGGTAATTTTTTCCGCATTTTTGTTTAGAAAATTAAAAATAAAAAGAGAAAAAAACGGGGCTTGTAATTTGACTAAAATAACTTACAATTATTTTCATATTAAAAATGATATTGTAATATTTTCCAGATTTTCAGTTAACTTATAAGCAAGTATATACGTCAGTTTCGAGATTTTTCACGATAAAACTGATCAATTTAAGAAGAATTGGTATATTTAATACCGAAAGGTGGATTTTGCCTAATTACATACATAACTAAGTCACACTGAAAATATGTATAGTATTGTATTGTAAAATAAGTAATTAGGTATGCATTTATGTACCTACCTACCCAAAATGTTAAAGAACATGTAGATAGATCAAAGCACTTTAGAAAATTTGAGAAGTTCATTTACGATACTAACCATATCCAATGATATTTTAGGATGTGTTCTTTTTGTAGTAATAAATGTTCTGGTATTATCGGACTCCGCATAATATCTAAAAAGAAATTGAAAATTTTTTGTTAAGAATTTGATTAAATATGTTTGTATGTGCTAATATCTAGTTCACAATAATGATTAATTCAAAAATTCTTCATTAAAATAAAATTTTAATACTCAAGTAAGTTATTAAAACTCCAATAATCAATCCATTTAATATTCAATTATTACAATTAATTGTAAAAGACTTACCAATATTTGAAAAATTAATTTTTCCAGTAATTAAAAATTAAGCATTTAATTATTATTCATGTTTCTTATTATTTAAATAAGTATTCAAGATAGTATCATACTAAGTACGATAAAACAAATCCACGTACCTGGTACTGCTTACCTAACCCTAACGATTTAAAAGTACATACATTAAAATTTCACAAAATATTCCAATAATTTTTTATTGGAATATTTAAATCTTAATTTAATTTTGTGCATAACTTAATTCATTTTAGTAAAACAGAATAAATATGTATATATGCATATAGTTACTTACTTAGTGGCAAAATAAATAAAATGTCAATTCGCTGTCAAAATTCAAAATAGTTAATATGGTTAATGGTTTTAAAAAATGTCAAACAAATATCTTTTGTACCTATTTGAATAAATATAATTTCATTGCTATTATTAAATATTCTATAATAAAATATATAAAATTTTTTTCTTAAACTTAATATCTTACTATGTATACATATAAGTAACAGGGAAAATATTTAAAATATCCAAATATCTTATACTTACGCATATATATACCCATACTTGATATATATAATTAAGTGACTTATTTAAAATTAAGATATTTTTTGCATATTTAATAATACAAAAATTTTTTATGTTATATATAAATAATTAATTATTAAATATATTAATAATAAATATATTATTAAGTTTTTTGTTTAACTATTTAAGTAGATATGTATGTATGTATGTATACTAATGTATATAAATATATATCTATATGTATACTTAAAAGTATATTGTATAAAGCTATTTATTCTACTCTCTTTTAAAGAATTTTCAAGGTAAATAGGAATATTTAATTTAACTATTTTTAAAAAAGCAAAAAAAAAAATTTTTTTTTTTTGTTTTATTCTTATTTTATAAAGAATAGTATATGTATATATATATATATGGTATTTGTATACATATGTATGAATGAATAACTATGTATACTTGTATATATATTTTTATGTTATTTTTATATTTAATGTTAATAACTCATTTATTTTTTTTGGTTTGTTTCTTTTAAAATATTATAAAAAAGAAGTGCTTATTGTTACAAGCTAATTATAGTTATATTCATACTACCTTCATGCAATACAATATGGTAAGATACTTATATAGGTACAATAGAAGTTATATTTTATTTACTATACAATATTTTCGTATATTGTCTACCTAATGTACCTGCATATACAATATATACCATATTATATAAATAAGTTTTTAGATATTTTTATCCACAACCATGTATAACAGATTTAAGTATAAATAAATTTGGTACTTACCTAACCTTTATACTTTTACCAATGTATTTCAAGTAAAATGCGAACACAAAATAAAAAAAGCCAAAAAAAAAATATCTATACCTAATACCTAGATGTTAAATATGTATACATTTGTGTATATATATATATATATAGATATATAGAGGTTTTCTCCATATGTATACCTTTTTTTTTTTAATACATACATTACTGTTATTCATTTTTTCTACGTACATGTACGTAATACTGTTATATCGTATATTTATTTCTATATATATGTATATAAAAAAAAATAAGAAAAGAAGCGAAAAATAAAAACAAAAATTGATGTCACATTAAAAAAATAATAAAAACCAAAAAAAAAAAAAATTTCTCATCTTGTAGATAACAAGAAAATATTATATAAGTATGCATACATGTATGTAAGGTATATCTTATACTGATACCGTGTGTATACACTAAAAAACAAAACAAAAAATAATAATTAAAAAGGTAAAAAAATAAGAGAAATAAAATACCTTTTTAATAATATAAATAACAAATAAAAAGTAAAACAAAAATAATAATAAATAATAAAAAAAAATAAAAAAAAAATCATAAATAATTGGTGAATAAAATAATAATTTTTTTTTGTTAATTTTCTGGTATTATTTTTTCTCAGTGTATTTTATACATTTTATAGTGTAGTTTATATTACTTATTACTCTTGTATTTAATAAATTATAATTATTGTGTGTACCTACCCCTGTTTAACCATAAAATATATATGAATGTATATATGTACATCTTTTTTTATAGTGTATATTCTTAACACAATACTTAATTTTACTATTTAATTTTTTTTTGATATAATAAGAAAAAAAAAATATAAAAATCTAGAGAAAAATAAAAGAAAATTAATAAAAGTTTGAAGAAAATAAGAAGAAAAAATCAATAAAACAAATAAGAAAAAAATTTTATTAAAATAAATAATAAAAAAAAAAAAAAATCAAGAGAAAGAAAGGAAAAAAAAAAATTTATCAATAATGTCATCAACGACGATGATGCAGTTAGATCAACCCAGTATATTATCAAGGGTATTACATTCCATACCACATGTTAATATAACATTTCGTCATGTTAATGATACATTCGATCCAGACAGTGATGTTTATTTAGAGGTAAGTTATTAAAATATTAAAAAATTTTATATATATATATTTACATATTACATACACTAATATATACTAGTGTAGTATTATAGTTATAAATGCTTTATATGTAATGAGATATAACTTTGTATAACATTTATAAGCAGGGATGTACCGAATAAATTTATTATTAATGCAAATTGTGTATACCTATATGAATGTAATAAATACTTATGAAAGACAGTTAATGCAATCATCCATATAAAGTGGGGAATTTTTTTTAAATATATTAATGAATAAAGGCTTACAGACGCTACATAATGACAAATGCAGCAGAAGTGAGTATAAATGACATTTGCTTCTGTATAAATGAAATTCATAAATCGCTATGCGCTTTCATCAAATTTTCTGCTTTTTGGGAATAATTTTTTTTTTTGCTCTTAATAAATAGCAAATTATATATGTTACTTAATTATTAAAAATAAATAAATTAATCATATTGATATTATGGAATTAGTTAAAGAATATTATAATTGCATAGAGGGAAGGATGTTCTTTGAAATTTCAATTTTTAAAATTTGGATTTTAGAAACTCAAATATTTTTTAATATTTTTTGAGAAACTGAATATATTTTAGCATTAGTATATTTACTAAGTATTTTTGTACAACTATTTGGGGATGTATTTCTTGTCTAAATTATTTTTGAGCAATTAATTTGTGATTAAATGGTTCAATTATTCATTAGTTATTATTTAAATCAGGAAGAATTGCGATTTAAATTTTATATAATTTTATAACAATTTTTTATAAAAATTCCAATGCATTAAAAATTATTATTTTAAACGTTGTAATAAAATAATTAATTTAAAAATCGGTCTTATACGTATTACAATGAAAATGAGTTCTTAACCCTTTGAAATTTTTTGTTCTTAACATATTATTGCTTCGCCATATCTATATAATTTTATGCGAACTATAAACGAATAACAAAAATTTTAATTCAAATTGAAAATGACAATATAAATTCTGATGGCTATGCAATAATCTGACTCACAAGTTAAAAACCAATATTATCTATTGAAATCAAACATGAAGTATAACATGTGCATCCCTTAATTAAAAAAAATATTCTTAAATTAATTTTCTTTATTTGTTTATCTACTTGTATTTGCTTTCTAGCACTGTTATAAATATAGTAAATACTAGGTTATAAATATGTAAAAATACTTAATATTTTATTATAAATTTATTTAATTATTTAATAAAAAACAAAAATTCTAATAACAGAAACTTGTATAGCTATTGATATATTAAATACATCAAATTTTATGTAGGGTAAATTTTATGATAAATTATAGAAAAAGAAAAATGTAATATCAGCAGTCGATCTTATACACGACGAGTATAGTTATATGCACAATAATAATAATAATAATAATTGTGATTCGCAATGCTGTTACAGATAACTAAACATACAAATAAAATTTTTTTTGATTCATTTTTAAAATTATACTATATATATACATTATATATACAACATTGTTGGTTCTAAAATAGAAAGAGATAGAAATATATATATATGTGTGTTAAACCTTGTCCCCATTTTTATGGCTTGCGAATAGTATCTAAAATGTTTTCATAATAAAGAAAAAAAAAGAGATTTTTTTTTTGCTCGTTTGCTTGTTTTTTTTTTTTTGAAATTTCTGCTGTTTTGTGGTATATATAGGTAAATTATATACTTTTGTTCTATTATATATGTATATATATGCAAATATATACATATATATATATATATATATATATATAGAGAAAATTCATTAAAATTTATAATAATATATATTGATAACAATTAACATAATAATTTTTTTTTTTCATATATAATGAAAAATTATTATAATATTGAAATGAGGTTGAAAAATTGTGAAAATCTATATTATTCCAATAATAAGAAAAAAGATTTTCAATTATTGCATACATAATGTACATATGAATACATACTTACATATAATATGCATTCATTTAAATTAAAAAACTATGTAGTTACTTTTATAATTTAAATGTAATAATAATTTTAAAAAATAATCTAAAGAATTAAATAGAAAAGAAGGTTTTTGGTAATTAAGTATTGTAAAATAAATCATGTCAAGCGTATAAGGTAAGTGTAGCTAATACTGACAGTGGCGGTAATGCTGACATATATGAGGTTTTTTATAATTATTAAGAGATTTTCTCTATACAACATATATATATTTTTTTATTTCTAGATTAATTCAAATTATCGCAATACTTCCTTTTATTTAGTTTTGAAATAACTCCAAAATATTGAACATAAATCAGTTTTGTTTCCATAGACATAGCAAAAGTGGGTTGCATTGGAGAATTTCTTATACTTTTTGCTTAATTTTTCCGATTTTGTTTTTATTGTTTTTTGACTTATTTGAGGGTTAAAAATATATGTATTTATATTAAATTAAATATTTTGATTATTTTTTATCTTATTTTATAAGTAATTCGAAGTAAAAACGTTAAATAAATAAGAATTTTAACAAATAATTTCTATCAGTATTAGGAACATCTAAAATTCGACCCTGCTTCTATTACTGACATATGTGTCAGTAATACGTCAAAAATCCGTATTTTTATAAATGCCGTCATTTTTAAAATATTTAAATTTTTATTTTCGTATTTATTTAATTAAAATCAAATTTGAATTTTCTTTCTTATGTCCGAATTCTGACACTAAGAATTTACTACAGGTTCGGAGTATTTTAGCTTTAAAAACTGGTGTCAGTAATACGATCTAAAGAGGGTCAATATTATGAACAAAATTATGTCAGTATAAAGTTTTAATTTTGATATTCATTTTAATTAATTAAAATAATTTCTTTATACTTTAAAATTGTTTAAACTATTTCTGTCGAATGAAAATCGATTACATTTGTGAAAACTTATATCTGACTACGACCTTTTTACCTTTTTAATAGTGATATTCGTCTAACAAATTGTGTGTCAATATTGTATACAATACTGTCAATAAAACAGTACAATTCGCTTTCTAAAAAAATGCTTTGAAATTACTGTAAACGTTAACGTCATAACAAATATCACAACGGAAATGGTTCTCTTTAAATAAGAAAAGGAGTCCTTTTTAATAACCCGAAATGTTGTTCCAAAAATTAAGAATGGGTTGCTCTCGTTACGTACTTAATACACATAAATAGTCTTTGTTAAAGCAAAAAGCAGCTTTAGAATAGGCTTATTAGCAGCTTTAGAATATATTGATATGATTTCTTATAATTTCGTGTGATTGGTACATCATATTTTAGGTATTATTTATAAGAATACATCTGTAGCAAATATTACTTATAATACTTTATAAAAAATTATATAATTTCGAATTAGATTTTCATAAATATCTTTTAAAAATTTTTATTTATTCATTGTTGCATATTAAGACTACTAGCAAAAGTACATTCTACAGTAATAATAAATTCAAATCAGCTGAATTTCACATATTTTTACCTTTAATTCAATAAAAAATATGTTTTTTATTTTTGTTTGAATTATAATATGATAAATTTTTAATTTTTTTTTTTAAATAAAATGAAATATCCGTAGAAATCCAAATTATTATTCCATTTTTATTGAATATTATCATTTTAACCATTTTAAACCATTATTCATATATAGAATATGGATTACAGCATATAAAATTACATTGTCAGTATTAGGAACACAAACTGTCAGTAATAGACACAAACATTTGCGGTTATGTCAATATTAGGAACATTTTTTCTTTTCGTCTATAATCGAAAAATTATGAATTAAAAAATATTTTGATTAAATAATTTTATAAAAAACATTATTCTCAATTATCCAAATTATTCAAAAAATCGAAAATGCGATCATTTATTGTGTCCCACATATAAAATATCTCACGCCAAAGTTGAATTTGTTGCGAAATATGTCAGTAATAGGGACACTTACCTTATATAGTACTTATAGTGAAAATTATAAGTTAAATAAAAAATGAACTCTTAGTTACTTATTTAGAATTATAAAAGCAAGTATACTTTTATAAGTATAATTTTGATTTTTTATTTAAATTTAATTATAAAATTTAGAATTATAGAGCAAATCATAATTACTTTATAATATCGCGGAATGTGGGTAATTATACTTTTAGAATAAGTACAAAAAATTCTAAAATTATAGAGTATTAAAACTATATATAATTAATAGAACAAATAATAAAACTTAATAACAAAGCGTTCTGAAATTGGAGGAAGTATTTATTTAATGAATATTGGCAGTCAATGAAATACATAGAAATTATGATTTGTAGAATCGATAAATGAGAAACTTAAATAAGAAATCCTTGAATTTTGAAGAATCCAATTTAAATACCATTAATTTTCACCTAGCTAGTAAACTTAATAACGCAAGAAATCGGTTCATGATCATCTACATAATATCAGGTATCAGTCCTATGCTCAAGTACCAGCTCTAAGAGCAAAGTAGAATAAAAAAAAAATATTCTTATATCTTTAAGCATAAAAAATTAAAATGGCAATGAATTTAATTTTATAAAATTTTCTTAATTAATTAATAAATTAATAGGTGTACAACATATTATTACAAAAAAATGTGATTATATTCTAATAACTCAGTGATTACAATAATGATTACAATAATACATATATAAAATTAAATATTTTAAATTCAAATAGATACGAGTATATACCTACTTACTTAGATGTCTCTCTATTAAGTAACATTTCTATAATTAAATCTGCAAACATCTCATTGCATCAACATAACAACAACATTTTTATACCAGTACGAACGTATGTTCGAAGGGTATACTAAATTTGCCTTACCGTTTGTAACGCTAAGAAATAACGGTGTTAGATATAGACTCAAGTGTATGTTTTTGATCAGCGTCAAATTCTGAGTTGATTTAGCTTTGTCTGTCCGTCCGTCCGTCCGTCCGTCCGTCCGTCCGAACGATAACTCAAAAACTAATTGA